GAAAAAGTTCTCTAATTCCCCTTACATGCCATAAGGACTTTCACAGCCTCTCTTGGGGGGGAAAAATATTGTGAAACTCAATAAATTATAGGCAGGGAATTTCAAAAGCTCTGAGAAGCTATTGTTATAATGAACAGCAATATTGTCCTAAGGGAATAATCTGTTTTCCCATTCTTAAAAGTCACTTTCTACAGAGGAGAAGGGATTGCGTCGTGGCCATCCCCCTGGGGGGGGATTTCTCGCTTTCTGTCTCTCTGTCTCTCTCTATTTGTCTGGCGAGTGCACGCGCCTTATAGCAAAAACTTCTCCAAAAAAAGAGAAAAAAAAAGTCACTTTCTGTAGTCAAGCACAGAAAATTTAGGAAAAAGTTCATCTAAGTTCACTAAATTGAATATAAACAAAAATTATTTAATTTTTTTTTTCACCAGAGGGTTTGCACGCAAAAGAGAGAATAGGGAGAGAGAAAAAGCACCTCTCAACATGGCCTGGTCACACCACAATCCTTTTTTCCCCTTATTTCTCCATCCTAACATGCTTAGCATGTTTTTCGAAGCTGCTGAGGTCTGAACTACAGTCAGCCATGTGGGATATAGATAGCTTTGCACAGTGCTTAACCACTACTCTATAAAGCCAGCCCCAAACTTTCTAATTTAGTATAAACTATCTCAGACATTTGTGAAAACATGAGAGGAAAAAAGTCACAGACCCACACACCTAGCTTGAAAAGTAAACTACTGGGGCTAGCAGGTAGCATGGTGGAAAAGGCACTGGAATCCCACATGGGAGACCGCAGTTCAAGTCCTGGACCTGGCAGCTTATTTTCTCACTTTTCCTCTCTCTCTCTTTCTGTCTCTCTGGTCAGTGAAAGTGCTTGTATAGCAAATTTTAAAATAATAATAATAATAAATAAAGTAATTTTTTCTAAAAAAAGAAATAAACTACTACTGATATAGCTGAAGCCCCTGGTATAGCATCATGACAGTATTACTGGGTAGCCCTTATAATTTTCATTTTGAAAGTGAAGGGGCCAGGCAGTGGCACAACAGTAACACAATGTTCTGAGAGGCTGACCACATCAGAAAGTCTGGATTCAAAGCTAGAGGCCCCCCTGTGCATTTGGAGCTGGTTGAGGTTGGGAGTGGATCATGGCCTAAGAACCATGTTGCGGGTGCCTGTCTCTCTTTCTCTCTCTCTGGCTCATGAAAGAAAAAATTAATTAATTTGTTTAAAAGGCAGTGAAATGGTATTCAAAGAAACAAGAAGAGTTAAAGACTTTTCCTCCCAATTTATATTTCGATAATTGCAAATCTGTCAACAAATCTACATGGTAATCCCAGGTCTGGCTGGTGAGAGAACAGGGCAAGATACCAACATATCAATATGTCTTAGTATGAATCATGCACATGCTAGGAACAGGTGTCACCCCACTCGGATTATTTCTGAACAGTCACTTGGTGAGATTAGGCCTGGTGCTTAAGCCATCTGTTTGTTTATAAGCTGCAGAGTTTGTGGTGCTCTCAAAGGAAAAGTTGGCTATACAAACTTCCTAACCGTAGCTATTGTTAAATGTTGGAAAAGGTGGGATACTGGAACCAGCTGTTAGCATAATGGCTATGTCGCTGGACTCCCATGTAGTCAACCGCAGTTCAAGTCCCAGACCCAGTAGCTTAAACTCACATCGGGCGCATGAGCGTGTGTGCCCAAGATCCCGAGAAGAGAACAGAGGAGAAGGGATTACATGAAGCGTAGCCATCCCCCCTGGGGGGTGACTTCTCGCTTTCTGTCTCTCTGTCTCTCTCTGTCTGTCTGGCGAGCGCACGCACCCTATAGCAAAAACCTCTCCAAAAAAAAAGGCAAGAAAGCAGGACAGGTCAATGAGACCTGCTCAGTGGTCACTTTCTCATCCTTAGCTGCTTCATCTCAGTTTCCTCCCAAGGCTCTGCCCTCCTCTACTCAACCCTGTGGCTCTGCAACAACCATTTTCTTCCCCAGACTGCCTCACACCTTCTCTTGGCCTTGACTAAGTCACCTAGGCTGATGATTTCCAGATCTCTTCCCACCACCTGGATATCTTACCTGTGCTCCAGACCAGCATATCTAGCTGTCTGTTCAACATCTTCAAATGGCACCTCAAACTGAGCAATTATTTCCAAAACTGAACTGAACTGCAATAAATCTATTCTTCCTTTTATGCTGCCTTTTTCAGTGAGAGCCATTGCCAGCCACTGAAAACCTGAGTATCAACCTGGATCCCTTGCTAACCTTTCCCATTATGTGGTAGACAGGTCTTGAACACCTCCAGATCACACCCGCTTCCTACCCCTGTACATGCAAGCCAGTTGACCATTATCTGTACCTGGACAACTCCTCTCTATCAGTCTCCAGAAAGCTCGCTCTTTGCAAAAAAACAATCATATCACACTCCCGTTTAATTACCCTTTACTACTTCTCTACTACTCTTAAAAAAAAGTCCAAATCCTTTAGCAAAATCTCCAAATTATGTGCTTCCCCATCTCCACCTTGCCTTTCTGCTCCATACTTGAGACTTCAAGCAGACCCACTGCCTCCACAGCTTTGGCCTCGAGCAGTTCCCTTTGTTGGAACAAGCTTTTACAAGACCCGACAGGATACCCTAGCTGCATCCTTCAGGTTGCAAGCTAAGACATCACGTGCCCTGAGAAGCTTTCTCTTTGCTGTCCCTCAAAGGTCTAAAATGGCCTCTCCTTCCCCTTTTCACGGCATGCAGCAGGCCCATTTTCTTGGAAGTTTCAGCACTAGGGTGAGCTCCTAGTATACACAGTGCTGGGACTTACAGTTCTTCAACATGGAATGATCAACTGACTGGATGGTCACCAGGGGCAAACTTGATGTATCTGACCTGTTTTTTTTTTTTTTTTTAATTCCAGAGGGCACATGCACATGTACAGCAGAGAAAAAGAGAAAGAGCAACTTCAAATAGCTGGTTATGCTGCAACCCTTTCACCTCCAATTCTCCATTTGTCAGGATCATGGACATGTGCGTATCAGATGTGTTTTTCTCTTTTTTTTTTTCTTTTTTTTTTAGAGAGATTTTTCCTATAAGGTATGTACACTGGCTGGAGAGACAGAGACAGAAAGCAAGAAATCACACCCCCCCCAGGGGGATGGCCACACCGCAATCCTTTCTCCTCCACTATCCTGAGATTTGGGGCATGCACACACACATGCCCGGCATGTTTCAAGCCACTGGGTCCAGAACTTGAATCATGGTCAACTATGTGAGAGTCCAATGATGTAACCATTACACCATCTTCTAGTCCTGGTCCCAGATGTGTTTTTTTCAAGCCACCTCTAGGACCAGGATTTGAACCCTGATTGGTCATGTAAGACCCTGCTTCCTCTGAGCAGCACCCATTGTACTATGGGTCTGGTCTCTATTCTTGACATTTTATGAACTACAGTATCGTTGTGGGATTTCTTGTTAGCAAAATAACATGACATTCAAGTGGAATAAACGATTTCCCCATCTTTCTCTTACCCCAGAACCAGGCAGCCAAAGGCAGTGAGCGTACTAGATTTAACCAGAGTCCATTCTTCACAAGCCTTACATAACATTTTAAATTTAAGATGTTATGCGGATGTGAAGGCTCCAAAACTTCCTACAAATTTGATTAGGGATTCCCCAGGGCAAACTTCCCTATGATTACCCTTATACGCTAGTTACAGAGCTATGGCTTTACATGTACATTAAACCACATACCCATCCTGAGAATTAGGCACCACTATTATCCCCAAGGTTCACATGGGAGAATGAGGGCTCAGAGATATTAAATAACTTGCCAAGGGTTACACAACTAGTTAGTGAGGAAACTAGAATTCAATCTCAAGCAATATGTCTGTAGAATCTTGGCAATGCCTGCGGAAAAAATAGTCAATGAAAGCTGAATGAATGAAGACAGAATGTACTAGAGATCCAGGGGCTCTGGCCCAGGGGTAATGCAGGTTCAGATTTCCAGGTTGGCTTGAAAACATGCACAGGGTATGCAGGCACCCAGGATCCTGAGGAGCTGGAAGGCTGGGAGGAAGGGATTGTGGCATGATGAGACACTGTCAAGTACTTCTCTCTCTCGCTCATGCACACATACAATATCATTAAAAAAAAAAACAAACTAACCTAAATAAATAAATAAAAAACCACCTAGAGATCACAGCAGTCCATTCATTGTAGTTATATTAGAAAACAGGAGCTTGGAGGACCAGCAGTTAGCATAACGGCTATGTTTCTGGACTCCCATGTAGTCGACTGTGGTTCGAGTACTGGACCCGGTGGCTTAAACTCACACCAGGCACGTGTGCGTGCGTGCCCAAGATCCCGAGAGGAGAATGGAGGAGAAGGGATTGAGGCGTGGCCATCCCCCTGGGGGGGGGGGTGATTTCTCACTTTTTGTCTCTCTGTCTGTCTCTATCTTTCCGGCAAGTGCATGCACCCTATAGCAAAAACCTCTCAAAAAAAAAAAACAAAACAAAAAAGGAGCTTGGGACCAGTGGGTGGTGTGGTGGTTGGGCACTGGACTCCCATAAGGCTGACTACAGTTTGAGTCCTGGACCTGGCAGCTTGCTTTCTCAGTTTCCCTCTCCCCCTTTCTGTCTCTCCTAGTGAACACATGTGCCCTATAACAAATTTTAAAATAATAATAATAATGATAAATGAAAAGTTTTAAAAAGAAAGCTGAAGCTTGGATAACCCAAAGTGCATTCATATTTGATTCCAGATAACATTGTTGGGAATATAAACACATTTGCAACTCAGGGACTATCAATTCTCTTATGGGGTACCACCAAGGAAAGACTTCTTACTCTCATCTATTCCTTCCTCATGGGATGGGGGCTGCAAGCTCAACTCAAACACCAGTGAAGACAGGCTTTGAGTTCTGATGGGTTAGAACACAGCACGTGTCAACGAGGCTGGGAACGAAGGAGTGAGGCCGGTTGGAGAAGCCCGCTCCTCTTCTGCAGCTTACCTCCCGCAGCTCCAGTCTTTGGGCCACAGCCTCTAGGCTCTCCTGGCCAGTGCTCTCCACAGACAGCGTGAACTCCACAAACTCGTTATTGAGCAGCTGGATCCGTGCAACCAGGCAGCTCTTGCTAGACACCGTGTAGCGCCGGGTGCGTTTCAGTTTCAATCCAAATGGCAGTGGCATCTTCTTTCAAGAGTAGAGGGGTCAAGAGGGAAAAGCACCCCCACCAGTCCAGCGGTGGTAACGCCAGGAGAAAGAGGTCCTCTCCTGGCGAGAAGAACGCTGTCCAGGCTCCCAATCCTCACCCAGCAGCTGCTGCCGCCATTAAAAAGCAACCGAGTCTCTGAAGGCCAGGCAAAAGGGGCGTCCACGCCAGCGCTGAGGAAAGACAAAGGCCAGTTATGTGAACAATGGTAACTCTGGACTTTGCTTTCAAAAATACAAATCGATGTCGCTGGACTCCCATGTAGTCAACTGTGGTTTGAGTGCCGGACCTGCTGGCTTAAACTCACACCGGGCGCGTGTGTGCGAGCGTGCCCAAGATCCCGAGAGGAGAATAGAGAAGGGATTGGGGCGTGGCCATCACCCTGGAGGGTAATTTCTTGCTTTGTTTCTGTCTCTCTCTTTCTGGCAAGCGCATGCGCCCTATAGCAAAAAACCTCTCCAAAACAACAACAAAAAAGTAATAAAAAAACACAAACCGATAATCCTTTGGGCTGGGGAAAAAAGAAAGTACTAACAGGATCTGGGAAGCAAGAGCATCGGGCTCTGCCTGGGGCAGCCTCCACCCCTCCCTAGATCCTGCAAACAGTGATAATCACCACCTGTGGCCACCTACAGGCTTCAGGGAGACAACCCCCAATTTCGCAGTTAGCATTAGTGGTGGCCCTCTCCTATTTTGGATAAGGTGTTTTTTTCATAGGTAACTTTTTTGGACTCCCAATATTCCCAATGTCAGAGTTTAGTCTGTGAGATAAGTACACAACAACTCCAAGAGAACTAGGTTCCAATCCCAGTCCCTCAAGTGAAATTAACCCTGAAAGAAAAAGGGAGGAGTAATCCCCTCTAACACAGGGCGACCGTGAGATCCCTACCGGGGCACGTGCTTAACAAGATTTGTAGAAACTCTTTCTGGTTGATAAATATTTACGTCATCAAATGGATTTATTTATAAACAAATTATAAAAGACCTCACAAATGTTTGTCGTCGGAGGACCACCAACAGCGGTAGTTCTGGAAAGCGTGGCCCGGCTCCGCCCACGGGTGGCCCCGTCCCAGAAAAGTCGGTCAGCAGGGCCTTAAACGTCATGTTGGGTTAACCAGGGTAAGACGGGAGTCCAGGCTATGAAGCAAACCTGGGGCGCCAGCTCCTCCCGCGTCCCCCTGGGGGAAGTGCAGGAGACGTTGCCAGGGAAACAAGTAGGCATCACGTAGCCGGAACCCTCCGCACACGACCGCGTTTCCGGACGGACGTGCTCGCATTGGACTAGCCCCTTCGCTCCGGGTGGGGACATTTAAAGGGGCCACCTCGAGCCCAATAGGCTGTGGAGAGAGTGGGCGGGTCCAGTTAGGTCAAGCATTTGGAGCCGCCGGACCTTTCCAATACACTGCCATTAACCACACCTGTTGCCGGTAACTAGTGAGCTGAGTCGAACTGGGGGGCCAGGAGCATGAGGTTTCCATATCAGCTGCATTTATTTTCCCCCAACATAAATCTACAAAATTCCGCATAGTTCTAGGATCTGTCCCAAGAACCTAGAACTATGCGGATCTAGGATCTCGGGACAGTTCCCACCCTCCTGCGTTGCCTACACACAGGCTGCCCCTGAGGAGGAATCGCTTAGCGAGGCCGGATCTGAAATGGTTACCCTGAACTCGGTCAGGAACCACACCGAGGGGCAGCATGCCCTCAGCCCTCTCATCGGTAGACAGAAGCTAGGCTGGAGAAGAAGCGGCCTTTTCAGCTTCAGGCTGGAATGGGCCGAGCTGGGAATCCATTCCACATTTCTCACCCCCAGTCGTCTGCTCAGTCCCGCTCTCCAGCAAGCTCTCAGCCGAGGTAATGGGCACTCGGGGCTGCGGAATGGCAGAGCTAGAGAACAGGATTTAACTATTACCCTTGGCTTTGCCAAATTTAACATTTTGAAATTCCATTCCACAAAGTGTATTGCGTGTCTGGGTACAAGGCAGTGTAGTGAGCATCGTGAGAAATCCAAGACGAATCCTAAGCCGTCGCTGCCCTTAAGGAGATTACAAGCATGCTATAATTACATACAGAGCTGTATCTCTAAGAACCCGACCACAGTTTTTCTCTGTCTGGTTTTGGGGGCTTTGCTTGGGTTTTGCTGGAGCTATAGTTATCGCCAGATAGCTCAGAAAAACGAAAAGTTAAAACAAGGGATAGAGAAAAGAGAGGAAAAACAAACTTAGAATTGCCTAAAGCACTGTCTCTTCTGTAGGTAAAAGCACCATACTTTGGAGGGAAATGGAAATATTAGAAAAAAGATATGGTCTCTATTTGCAGAAGTTTTCAGCACACTGCTGTCAGAAAAATAGTTGAAGAAAAGTTTTTAAAAAAAAAAAATCCAGAAATGAGAAGCTTAACCTGATTTAAGATTTAATTCCAATTAAAGTAGTGTTTATATAATTTAAGAATGCTGTATATACTTATCCTGTATACTGAATATACTTTCATAAGATGAGTGTGTGGATTCCAATTTTATATACAAGTTATGGTAATGGGAAACAAGATACATTAAGTAGTATAGATGAACAAGATATTGAATTTATGAAGAAGAAATATAAGGATCTGTAGTAGGGGCTATTTAAGGTAGTCCACTAGAAATATAGAACTATTAATTCAAAGTCAATAGATACTATACTATATAACTTAATTAAGCTGAGATTAAACAAACTGAGGATAACACTTGCAACTGTCCCTGAGATTTGAAATGTCTTTACAGCATCAGGGATAAGGAAAAGTCCACATTTTCTTTTTTATTTTGATAGATGGTACAATCAAGTTGAAAGTGTATATCTCACATTTTGCCAAGATACATCCATAAGGTTTATTTTTTGCTTATTTATATAAAACATGCTGTGTTGAAATAATGTACAATCAGGTTGAAAGTGTATATCTCACATTATTTTGCCAAGATACATCCATAAGGTTTATTTTTTGCTTATTTATATAAAACATGCTGTGTTGAAATAATGTTCTGCTTAATTGTTATCAAATTATCAATGATTTACATACTTTAATGTTCAGTTTTATACAGTATTTGCTACCAAGTGATGACCAAGTTATGAATGTTTTTTAATATATTATTAAAACCAAAAGAAGTAGAAATATAAGATGCTTTGGGGGTGTCTCTTTAGGTGTAAAATATACAATAATTTGAAAGGTAGTTAAGTCTGTAATTGCAGTTTATCTAACTCCTAAAGTAAATGCATAATTTATAAATAGCTTTTAAAGGAAAGCATATATCTTCTCTCCAAAACTCATTATATGGTTAAAAAAAAAAAAGCAGATACATTAAATTCAGATTCAGTACAAGTTTACAAAAGCAGTCTGAGTTATATTATTTTTGAATTCATTTTAATTTTCCCACTCCACATCCCATTCCAAAGCTTCCCAAGAACACTAAAAGTCTGACTCTTGTAGAATTCTTCCCCTCACACACACCTCAGCCAGGCTGCTAAAGTCCTCACCCCACGTAATCTTGCCAATGTTGCTTTAAAACACAATAAACATTAACAAGAGACTGTGTATGACATTTTTAGAATAATAGCTATATTTATAGCATTAAATCAAGACGATGCTTCTTACCACGAAACAATTTTGCATAGACGCATAAGATACCCTGAAAGAAAACAGGTTACTATTTTCAGAGTAAAATTACTGTCATCCCAACTCTTAAAAAAAAAAAAAAAAAAACTGTCAGCAACTATTAGGCATTCTGCGGTTGTCACTTGGAGCACACGAATGTTGTGAATGTTTTTGCGGGCACACGCTATTATTATAAGGCTTTCTCAGCAAAAAGGAAAATAGGACGAGCCTGCCAAGAGAGGCCAAT